CTTTCTCTGGGGCATTGTCTGTGCTTACAGCACAGTCACTTGGGCCTCGTCCAAGTTGTCTCACAGTTTTGTGAGAGTCTTTTTGGATGGTGTAAGCATCTCAGTCAATGCTTCACTGTGCTGGGCAACACTGGGTGTCAGCAAAGGAGTAGGTGTGTGTTGGTGTACAGCACGTGGTCAAACAGGCCTCAGGTGAAGCCCATTACTACTCTCACAACAGAAACATTAAATAAAACCAACAAGAGTAAAATATGAAGAAAGTTTTAGAAATAACTGTAGTAGCATCTACTATATAAATCAGCGTTACAAAAACTAAATATTATTCAAACTGTTGATTTTTTTTAATCACATAGTAAGTTTTTATCATTAATGAGCTATTTTGCAAGGGTCTCTGAATATTTATAGAATCTGAAGATCAACATTGCATAATGTTCTGAAATCTATTGATGCTGCTTATTTATTTAAAGAAAACATTCTTCTTACCCTTGCTAGGTCATGCCATCTGGCTCTTGCTTTGATAACAAGGTAGTGATGAGCGTGATCACAAGCTAGCTCTGCATCCGTTATCATCTGTTTTTTTTCTCAGGAAAGAAAAAAAAAAAAAAAAAAAACAACTAACTGTGTTTCACATTAGTGGGATCTTTAATCTCCACAAGTTTCCTTCCCTTTTGTTGTTCTTCATGGTAGTGGTGGTTTTGTTTCCTAGTTTCTAAGATACCCATTAAAGACTGTTACTTCACATCTGTGTAAACTTAATTCTTTAAATACTGCCTTATTTCCCTAGCTGCAGGTTAGCGAAGATGTTTTAAATTTTGTAATTCCCTATTTATTTTCAAATCAATGTTGTTCAATTCTCCCTCAAACTCAAGAGCCAGCATGGATCATTTATACGCATAGAAGGAAATGTTAATTATCTCAGAAACAATTATATCCTGGAGTGACTCCAGGAAGATTATCCTTGATTTACATCAATAATGTAGATCCAAACTATCTTTGAGTCACCAAGGCACGGCTAGTAAGTCTGGGGACTAAGACCCACATTTGCAAATTCAGCCACCATTACAAGTGCCTAACTTTTGGGGGCGTGGTGCTTCTGGTTGAATCCAAGCATGCAGAGGAATATGAGTGCCTCAGATTAGGATCCAGCATAGCTGTTGCACTACACAGAAAGCTGACTAAATCCATGTGCTACGCAAGGACACACCTACCTGAGAATTGAGGGGACCTTACGTCTCACCTTTCTTTGAAATAGTGCACCTTCCTTCCCCTGAGAAGAGCAGCCCTTCTTTTGGTGCCCAATTCTCTTTAGCTTTTCTAAGCACTTCCAGTTAGAAAACTGAGGAAAGGCTGGTAATTTCTCTTAACAGACAGCTGCCCGCCTCATGCTACATCCTAGCACTGGTTTCTCCTCCAGCTATTGCTTTGTAAGGAAATGCTGCAGACATATGGCTTCAGAGCCTCGTTCAGCCATGCTCCAGGAATATGCTCCCTGGACCAAGATTCTCAAACGAGAGGCAGAGGAATTTTGAGTCTGCAGACCAGGCAAGATGTGGTAACTACATCTGACCTACTCACTGAGTTCCTGTACCACCCATGGCATGCGCAGACCATAACTTACGTCCTGGAGAACTGCAACACTGCAAACTCAGACAGTTCTGAGCTCCTGGGGCTCTGGACCTTGACAGTCTTCGCTGAGGGCTCCGTTTGGATTTAGAAACGTGAATGCCACATTAATCTATTTTAGGTGCCTGGGAACCTTCTGAGTTTTTCCCACTCCCACTGCTTGAGAGAAGATTCCATAAGCCTAAACAATCAACCAACAAAAATAGTCTAAAAACTTAGCTGGGAAAATGCAAGTGCTCTTAAGGCTTTCAATCACCATATTTTCTTTGCTGGACTTCTGAAATAGTAATAGTATTTGAAACGAGGAAATTCTGGAGCTAAATTCAAAATGTTTAAATTTCTAGCTAAGTCCAAACTGAAACAGAAATGAGAGCATGACAGTAGTTGGTCTCAGACTCCAACTGTTAGCAAGACTCAGTCATCATCAGTTTCCTTTCTTGTTTTAGACTGATGTCCTTGATTCACTCAGTTGTCCAATTCAGGAAAAAAGAAAAACAAACCAAGCAGATAAATATTACTAACATCAGAGCCAACAGTAATGCTGTAAGAGACAAATAAAAACTGGGAAATAAGCCTATGTGTATATACCACATCTTCACTGCCACAGCGGAGATGAGTTGCTGATCAGGAGCTTTTTCAGTCCTGCTGTATCTTGTCATTATTTTTATGCATTTATCTCTGTTTGCATAGTTAAACAGAGTTTCACACTGAGTTTTTAGAATGAATTTTTTAGTGCCTAAATGCTATTTATCATTAAAGTTAAGCTCAAACTTTAGAATTCCAGACGTTTTAAGCAGCATCACTGCTCGCAGGAAGGGAGGCTGCAGCACTATTCTCCCTATCCTCCACCCACTCCACAGTGCCTCAATGCTTCTGTGCACCTCCCCTGATCTTGTCTACTCTCAGTGCCCTGGCGGCATAAAGGTCTGGAGCATGAGGCTTTGGGCTACTGTAATGTACACTGACAACAATATTAGTCTCAGAACTGACAGACACTGTGCCAGACAGGCAATAAATACCCTGGCTGCTCCTCAATCCAAAATGACATCTGATTCCAAAACCATCTCCCCAATTCTGCGTGCTTGGCAGTTGCAGCAAAGTTGTCCAGTTTGGAGGCTAGCTCAGCTCTAAGGCTCCAACTCAGACACCAAGTATATATGTTTGACCTTACAGATTTAAGTAGTCCCCAGGGGTAGTTCTGGCATTTTAACCTAGCGGTGGAGTCATAAATCACTGAGAACTTGGTAAAGCTACCCAACTTCAGCTTGATAAAGACATATTTTAATACTATCTTTTTTCAATTATACCCAATACAAATTTTCACACAGCATATTCATTTCTCTAAACACATCAGATTACTGTAGGTACTACACAACTTTTTCTTTCTTACTTGTGAGATGGCACAAGCCGAGGAGGTACCTCCTTAGTTTCTTGGGCATGGAACAGTTGACAGAATTCTTGGTAATTTAACACCGAAGTCAGGTTCATTCCGAACAAAGTAGGCACAAGAATTCCTCATCTCTAAGACGAAGCAGAAAGCTGTCCAAAAATTGCTGAAAGTCAAGCATGTTGATGATACCGTCATGGTTACTGTCTGTTTCACGGAAGGCAGAATAGGTGTCCTAACAAGGAATATTTAACTAAATATATTTAACATGTCAACTACATATTTTTTAACATAAATAACAAATGTTTGCTCTAGACTTGTTTTGACAACAGGCAAATATTTTAACGCAGTTTAGGAATACAAAGCATTTCTAGTACTGCCTTACTAAACACTTGGGATAGTCCGCAGTAAACCGCAGTCTTACTGCTTTCATCTCAAGCGTGTACAGAACTGAGCGAAAGTAGGGAGCGTCAAAAAGCCAGCCCCATACAAATTTACAAATTAACCTCCACTTTTCCATCAGTCCTATCTGAGAGGTACCTCATTTCTACTCTTGCACACCCTCAGAAAACCTGTAATGAAGAGAGACTTTACAGCAGTTGATCTACCAGCTGAACAGCTTCTCCCATTAGAATAGATGCAGAATGTTTGAACACTTTTAAAATGGTGCAGTTCTTCAGAAATCTGAAGTAATGCTGATCAATATGATCAGCTTTGCTAGGGGTGTCCAAGCTGGTTTGAACAGAGGATCCCTTTCCTGAATGCTGATCTTTCCAATTCTCCCAGGGAACAGGGATGGGACGGGATGGAATGAACTGAGCAAAAGGGTAACGACTGCGTCTTCTCTCCTTTGTAAAATGTGATCTCTCTTACTCTGTGCATATCCATGGTGGGGATTCAAGGCGTACATTCTAATGGTAATTACAGAAAATAATAAGCAAATGTAGAAAAGCTGGAAAACAGCTCTTGATTAAGATGGCTGTGTTGCAAACTTTAGGGACTAAGAACATCTTCTTGAAAGATCATTCTCATGAATAGATGGACTGTTCCATGAATGAGCAGTACAGAGTTATTCTTTTCTAATTGCAAAATCTTTAATAGCTATGCTCACAAAAGGGTGGGAAAAATAACTCAGATCTTATTTTCCTGACAGAGGCTGCAGAGAAGACAATTAGGGAAAAAAAAAAGTTTTTGCCTTGAAAACTGAATATATTTGAACTGGAAGTTTCTGAGAACACAGAAGACATGAAATCCAACATAATTTTTAGAGTCACTTTCCTGACAGCTCCTCCAAACCAACTTTTAAAACAAATGTTTGTATCAAAATAACAACCAGCTTCACTGCCAAAAGCAAACCATGGCTCGATGTATTTTCCCCATAGACTTCCATCAGCTCATCATAAAGTTGACTGAGACATTCTTCAGCAGTCATGTAGTGATATATAGCATCATTTACTCTGTGGTTTGGGCTGTTACATAATGTAGCTCCCGGGCCATTCAATCTGGCATCTGCAATAATGAAATCAAAGTATAGCAAACATAGAAAAGATCACATTTAAACATATCTGATAAATAGCACAGTAATATAACATAAACAAAACAAGAAACCCTGCAGTCGTATTCTTCACAGCCCAAACATGATGAAGTCCAATAGCTGTATGCAGTATTAGTGTTCTCCACCCAATTTACAGTAATGGCCTCAGCTGCTATAGTTCTCCCAGCACAAGGTGAAGAAGATAAACTCAACTGAAGAAAGCACAGCTGAGACAAGGTCTTTTTCTTTTGCTTTAGCGTTCTCTGGTGCCTGGTTGCTTTGAGGAAGGGAGGTATCAGACTGGAGGAGGAGAAAAGGAGCACCGTGAAAGCCGTGACTTACTGTCATACCGCCTGTCTGTCTCAGTGAGGGAACACAGGAACTGCAGACAGTGCCAGAGAAAGTAGTTTGTTACGTCTTTGACTGTGTAGCACAGCCACTGCACACTAGACCATCTCCTCTGGAGCAATTCTATCCTGGCTAAGCTCTCCTCCGGTTTGAACCAATGTGAGCTATTTCAGGATATCTGCCATCAAAACACTCCTGACTTAACAGAGCACCACCCCTGAAACTATTTTGCCTGATGTTCTGTTCTAGCAAGACTCAGTCCTGCACAAACAGCAGCTTCATATTGTCACAAGTTTATTATCCCACAGCCCAGCAGGATCAGGAAAGGGCGACAGCCAGCTTCCCAGCAGGGCACCCATGTACTTCCATTCCTGAAGGGCTAAGGTAATTTTAGGCCATAGAAACGCTATTTTGGTCACCGTTCCAGATCTGATTCCTTCTGCTCATTGTGCGGTGATAATCTAGGAATCTATTTTGCCTTGCTTCTGGGGAAAAAGAGACTAAGCATCTTTTGAAGCCTCTTGAGCATTTTAGAATTTTTCTGCAACATGTGAGCCATATAGAGGAGCAAAGTAATTCATGTCAGATTTTAAAATGGGAAACTCTTGCAAAGAAAAATGTACACACTGACATTTCACTACACCCTACTCCTGATTGATCAGAAAAATGCTAAGTTAATGGTCTGTTCTAAAGGAACTTTTTTTTTTAAAAGATTTACATACACCGACACACAAAAGCCTGTACAACTACTCCAAAGAATCACTAAATAGTATTCACTGCATCATTTTAACTTCTCCTGATTTTACCCTTTAAATCCTACTCCCCCCTACAGACATGCACTATCCTTCCCTTTTTTCAATTCCAGTTTCTATTGAAGCCTAGTCAAGAAAATTTGTACTTGTGTTATCTTCCCACTAAAGTTTATAAGAAGAAAACCAGGTCTCTTTTTCTGTAACTGCAGACCACCCTCCACCCCAGTGAATCACAAATAATTGAAAAATAAAAGTTAGGAGGGCTTTTTCTTTGCCTTCTGCTTTCTGAGACTTACTTTATGTTAAATGTGGGTCACACTTCCTTTTACAACTATGAGATATAGTAAAATATGGAAAGAAAAGCTGTGATTCTCATAATTGGCAAAAGCAAAAACTTTAAATACAGACAAAACACTGTTGATTCTTGATTTAAATCAAAAAGCTGGCACACTCATTTTCCCTGAGGTTAACCTGTTTCAAACATCTTTTATTAGGCTATTGGATGAAGGCGCACATATTTTGGTGGACAGTTGATTAGCTGACTATATTAACAAACTTCTAAACTTCTAGGCCTGAATGAAGAAAAACCTGAATATTATGTCAGCCAGCCACAAGTCAGCTCTCACTTTTGTCTTAGTTCTAAAAGAGAAATACTGACAGCAGAAAATAATAGTAACAGTGTGAAAAAAGTAGATGCGCACGTCTGAGAAAAATAACAGAGGCATAATATGGAAGTTAAAACAGGCCTTGAAGCCAATGGCAAAACTGCTGTTGGCTTCAGTGGCATCAGAATTTTACCCACAAAATCTAGACTTAAAAAAGCATAAGTATAAAAAAGTGAGAAATGAATAATTACTTACTAGCTTTAGTTTGCACTCAGGGTTCCACCCTAAGAAATCAGTTCAGATTCCATCAGCTTCATTTTTACGAGTTGAAAATCAAACCCCTTACTTACAGTGCCTTGAAATCAGTGAAATTACTGATGGGGTAAGGCAAGTAGCTGAGGTGAAAAAATGTGCTCCCAAATTATGAATATATTCCTCTGGTATTCATTCCTCAGCAACAGTAAATCAATGAAGACCACATCCTCATTATTCGGGTGGACAATACATATGTATCTACACAAACAGTAAACCTTGCTCTCTCACTGGGATTCTTGATACTCTAATAAAACTATCAATTACATTACAGATAACCACATTTCAGCATTCTCTAGTAGCAACGTCCCTTAACAGCTTTAACATTCAAAAGCAGTACTTTAAATTAAAACCATAAACCAATAAGTAACCAGATCACACCACAGAGCTCTAGTTGTATATACTGCTATTAAAACTCATCACTAATGGCTTAATAACAGGTCTTTCTTTCCTGAAAGGACTAGTTACTGTCTTCTGGCTTTTTACACAGAATAGAAAAAGTTGCTGGACGTCACTACTATAAAATCATCCACTGTAATTTAGGATACAACATAATTCCGAGACTGTGAATAAGAGTTAGAAATGCTGAGGACAAGGATCTACTCAAGGCAGAGCAATCGGTCAGTTGCTTTTTGCAGTCTGTTAGTGACAACTCCATGGCACCTACCTGTGGACCTTTAGTTAGTTCACATCCCACATGTTCCAGTTTCCCTCTTGTCCTGACTTAGATACTCAGCAGCTTAGCTGGATCAGGAGTCAATGAACTACAGACAGAAAGGTCACCCGTGTGCTAAAAATCCTATCACTGATCTCTTCCTAATTTCACCAATAGCCTTTCCTCAAAAGAGAAAAGTTCTGGATCTTCCAGGAAAGGTTTGTTTCATGCTTTATTGCTGTTAAAATTCCTTTACCTTTCAGTATCGCCACAAAATCCAGATAACTCAACCCTCCATCTGGTAACCCCAGCTTTTCTGTTAGTAGATTAAACTGATTGTCATCCATTGGCATGCCATGATCTTCCAACACCTGTTAGAAGAGAAATAAAATAAGTTCTATAATGGCCTATTTTCTTGCTTAATATGCCATTTTGAATACTAAATATCTGGGCATTTTATCTTATGGCCCAACTTGAAATTACTCTGAAAATTGATCTCTCTTCCTTACATTTACAGTAAGCCATTTAAATATAGATCTATTCTGTACAACTTCAATTCTATACAGAAAGAGACAGAGAGCAAAATTTGACTATATTTTTGAGACTGGCATTTTAAGCAAAAGCACCGAGTGACAGGCTAAGATTAAACTTCACCTGGAAAGTAAAAAGTGCCAGAAGAAATGACGTTACCTCATTTAGCAGACTAGAGGAAAACTGTCATTTGTAGAATTTGCTGCTACCACTTTTCCTCACAAGCCTGCCACAACTACCTCCTGGACAAGAAATGCTGCAGAAAGGATTCAGGCCCCTGAACCACATACAGCTTCAGCGAGGTGGAAGGCACAATTCCTTTTGCATTGCTGCTCTTAAAAGCAGATTTGGGGATCTGTTTTAGGTAATCTATTTTGGCAAGGAACTTTCTGATCTTCCTACATTCCTCCCATGTCCCCTCCTCTTTTTTTTGCAGACCCTCTACCTCTCTGCATCTAAGAAATGCAGCAGTCCAGAGTGGCGGCAGTCTCCCATTGCGCCCCTCTTAATGTTACCTGGCAGTCGACTGTGGAGGGGTCCCTGGTTTTCTTCTACTTTTCCCACCTCCTGTTTCCCTGAAAAGTTGTAGTTGCAGCCCCTGCTTCTGCTGAGGGCTTTCTCCAAAACCTTTCATCTCCTTCAGCTGCTTTGTAACTCCTGGTTTGGGTGTGTTTCTTTATAACTGTCCTGCACAGCTCTGTCTTGACTTTCCAAGTGTTCCTACAGTGATTACTCTTGCCATTATATTTTAGTTAATTATACAGATTAAAAGAAAAAATTCATTAAATAGCTGAACAGCATAAGGAGTGTTAAAAAAGTAAGAATAATTAGCAAATTATCATTCCTTTCTCTGAATGTAAAGCTTCTGGATAAGCAAGCACGTTTTATGTTCAGTTGAACAAGTATTTACCATCAGATCAAATGCTTAATTGTAGCGATAAGGAAATCTGGCCACACAAATCCAATCAAAGCTGGAGAGAATCAGTCACAATAGTAATGTCGGTGACTACAGTCTCAACTATTAGCACTTTCATCTAGAGAAAAAAAAGTGATAAAACTCTGCCAAAACTGCATACAAGATTAAGTCATATTAAATTGTACGACTAGGTCATTGTCCTGTGCTAAATGGCTCACAAAAGGCATAGTTTCTAAATCTTATTTAAAGAAAGAGGATTGATGACAACCTTACAGGAAGGATATATTGTAATCCTTCACAAAAGTGAAGGCACACGTACAAATTGCGGATGTTACCCCAGGACCCCTGACAGAGCTTCAGCTACCATCTTCCTGATTCTGAGCTGTATTAACAATTAGACAAGTCCAAAGGTGCAAAGACAGGGTCTGTGCCTACTTGCCCAGTTCCTAAGAGAGCCAGGTCCAGTGAAGCCAGAGGTACTACGTTACTCTTTGGTAAAGGAGGTGGAGTTTGGCATCCCGCTTCACTAACCCGCCTCACACCTTTGGTACTCCACAGGCAAGCAGCTAAAAGGTGTCAGTATGCTGTAAGCTGTAAAGAAAAACACAGAGAACTGACAGTGTTGGTATAACCCTGCAAAGGTTAACTGGTGATTTTATGTCTGCATTTTTGGGTTATTCAAGCATACCAAGATCAATTACCCTTCAGAGGAATGTAAGGGTGCATTCTGCCCCCTCCCTTAATGCTGCCGTAACATAATGTTATACAAATAAACAGAGCTTATCCACTTCCAAGTTGGGCAGACAGCTTTTGCCCACTTCTATGGCTTGGCCTGGAATAACAAATCAGAAAACAAGTATGCTTTTATGTTTACCACTACCACACTGTTTGAGTAACCTATTCCACCCCTGAGGACAAGCAGCTCTGCCCAGCTGTACACTAGCTGCCTGGCTGCTCTAAATGAAGCTGAAGATCAGAGTAGCAGTCTCAAACATGCCAATGAGGTGGGCAATGGTGTTGGCACACCTGCCCAGCTGCAGAGTCGGGATCCAGTCAAAGAACAGCATACCACTGTAGATCACTTTAACTTCAGTGGCACCTCAAAATGCCTTACAACCAACTCACCTAAATGCACTTGGGACATGTCATATTGCCTGCACCACTTGCAATAACCTAATGTATATAAAACATCTATATGCAGCTGGCAGATGTGATACAGAGAGTCCTACATCCTTACGAAGCAGCAGTTGGAGGCCAGGGGAGATTCCCCACAATGCCTACAATGGTACTAGACGCCCATTTCTAGATGTTCTTTATCTACCACTGAAACTCTGTGATCTCTGGGATGAAAAGCAGCTGTGCTTCCAGGGCAGGGATTGATGAACATCTTGGTAGAAGTGTCAGGGAAATTAAAGCAGGAAGAATGTGAAAACTCCCACTTGGAATTCTACCTAGACAATGAGGTGGAAATCCCCTTTCTTTTGCAAAAAGTGCAGAGATCTCTAAAGACCACAAGTGGTGGAGAATCAGTTTCTGTCTGCATTTCACCTGAAAACACACATGCCCCGTCAGTTCCCAGAGACATAAGGTAGACTGTCACTTCAGTTCTGACGAGGAATCCCTTTTAATCACCCTTATTCGCACAGAACTCTCATCCTCATTCACTCCAGGGTAGGCTTATTTCACTCAGCACAAGGTGGGGCAGAACAGGACTATTGCAGGGAAGCATGCCCCTTTTGAATGATCATAATCATCAGCAGCAGGGCCGAGTTCCCCGGGCAGTATTCCACCCAGCTGGACCCTGCTGAGCTTGCAGGGTCCAAGAACATCACAGTGCGGTGATGCATATACCTGGCTGCAGGTACCTGATGATTTTTTATCCTTTGTGCATTGCCAGAACTTGAGAAATGCATCATCCATAGTGTAATAAAAGAACAATGAAATCACAAAGACTAACTCTTCAATAGCTTCTGGTGCTATACAAATATCTTAAATGTGAGTTGTACACAGACAGCCAACGCAGAAGAAAAAGCGGCAGGTAGAATGAGTTTGTTCTGCCTAAGAGTGACAAAACGCACGTTACTGCATTAGCTGCAGGCAACATATAAGCCTCTTAGGTATCACATTGTAGTGTAAATCACAGCAACCAAAGCCAATGTCCCAAAGGTATGTGCCACAGATGTCAGATCTCTATGGGAGGAAGGGTTGCAGCTTAACACATTCTTAATAAGAGTATTATTAACAAGAAAATATTAAGAGAAATGGAAAATGCTTTATGTGTTTTGTCCTCCCACTTTCCCTCCCCTTCATTTCAAAGCAATTTCACTTCCTGCACGCCATTGCAGAAGGATATCCACCTGAGGGTAAGAAGATGGGCGGCTGAATGCAGCTACAGTGTTCGCAGGGGAAGGCTCTATAGTAACAGCCTTCGTCTTGTCGTATGATGTGGAGCACATACCTCACGGGTCTATGCTGAGAAGGGGAGAAAGGAAGGCAACAGCTTGTCACGCCCTTACAGTCAGTACATTTGGCCCTGCAAGAGTAGCTGGCAAAAACATGTACAGTCCATGGTCCACGGATGGGAAGATGATGTTTATTACTGAACCAGAGTAAAAACAAATTGGGACAAACTTTCTCAAGGGACTATGCAAGCCATTTTCAAAGGTACAGTTCTGGTTTAACCCTTGCTGACTATTACCTTACTTCAGTGCCTGGACAAAGGGCAGAGCATGCATTACTGTCATAACACTATTCAGCAGCAGCTCTTGCTTAAACCTAGGTAGACTAGGGAACTGTTACTGCCATCATGTCTCTTTTCCTGCCCAGCCTCAACTTTCAGCAAAGCATTGTGCTTTGAAATGTGAAAAGAAAGAAATGTACAGCTGGGTGCCATCAGCATCACAGCTACAATCCCAAATCCATGACCTCACAAGCCTGTCTAAAGCACAACATGCAGTCAGTTAAACCATCAAGGCTGTGATGGGCCATGGGAACACCACAGAAAACCCTATCTCAAAAAAGACACCTACAAAATTTGATCAGAAGTCTTGGCAAGTAAAAACTATACAATTTCAATACATCCATATTATTGTGGATCCTCTCAGCACTGAGATGCTGTACCCAAATCAGCTAACCCAGTATCAAAAGCCACCCAACATCAAATAGTTACACTGGAAATTTACAACATGATCAAATCCACTGAATTCAAATAAGAGCTACAGAAAGGTTCTCCCCTCCTGTTGGGGACCAGTCTATGCCCTGAAATGCTACTAGACGTCTGGAGGAGATTTCCCTGACACAATCACTGCAGGCTCTTTTGAAAGTAGAACAGGAGTGAGCAAGGAAGAGAGCTGGGGAACCCAGGGTGTGCTCCCTAGTCCCAGCGTGATTACGAGCCACACTGCAGTCCAAGAGTGGGTCAGAGGAAGCTGAGGCTCGGAAATCTGAAAAATGGTATAAAATTCGCTTAGGTCATTCTCCCTGAAGTATCTGGGATCTGGAAGCTCTGCTGTATCTGTTAAGAATCTTATTCTTCACCTACCTATATCCAGCTCCTACCAGCTACCACTGTGGAGTTGCAAAGAGGGCTTAAGGACTCTGAGTTAAGGCTTAGGTGATTCTTTAAGGTATGCCCACTCACTTCACATGAGAGGTGTGGTTTTGGTTGACATCACACCTCCACGTCCCAACTGTGTCTTGCCGGTCCCAATTCATACATGTTCTTTTTGACAACTGGGAGCAGTTGAAGCTTTCAAGGTGTAGTGCTGCTACAGGATGACCATTTTACGTCTTTAAAGACAAGTTGAGATTCTTTCTCATACAATAACCTGCACGGGACCCGTTTAACTCATCAATAACTGAAACAGTCCTGGAGGATTTAATGCTAGCTGTGTCAGCAGGCACATTGCTAAGACAATAAGTATCTTTCTGGGAAAAGTACAGGAGAGAGAAAAATAGCTAACATTTTTCCTACCTTCCGCAAGCCAGCTTTATTAATTTTGCCATGTGATTGCTTGTTGTAGGCAAAAAAGCTGTCTTTAATAGTTGCTGCCTATTGTATCACTCTGTCCTTCAGCCTTTTAATTACTTCATCAACAGTTCTATTCTGGGCGTATTTGTTAGCTTGATCTTCAATCTGCTTGATTCTAAAATTGAAAGATTGTGCATGAAGACAAGTCGCTTATTTTTTGTAGTTTCAAACATTTGATTCAGCAATAATGAACAAGATTTCTTTAATGACAAACAATACATAGACATGGAAGAAGCTTCTTTGATGCAAAACAAAATGATAGGTTGATCAAGTTAGAGCACACGTTGATTCCAAGGCCTATATTGTGCAAACATTTCTTATGTATAGCTTGCTTTACAGAAAAGAAGAAAACCCCAAAAAACCAAACCAAAAATTGACTGATACTGCTCTGAAGTATTTCTTTTGCAAATGGAGATCCTAGACCTCCAAATCACAGGCTCAGTTTCTAATGAGCCCAAGTTTCTACATTAGCTAAGGAGCCACCTTTATCCTTTAATACCTCCTCAGTTAACATGAGATGGCTAAGCTAACATGAAGGAAGTTAATGAAAGTCTTTCCATTGATTTTAAAAGGAAAAAATATCTCTCATGACGTTTTCTCTCTTCCTGGATCCCAAGTAAATCACTTCCACACTTCTTCCCTTTGGAGGAATGGCCAGAATACCTTTCTTTCTCGGGCCCTATAAGAAAGTCCATAGATATGGACTATATACTCTTCTTGCTGAAATACCACAACCTTCATCAATAAGCCATTAAAATAAATAACAATTAAATATTTAATAACTTTTAAAGACAGAAAAGAAATTAAATTAAAGGGTATGTAATGTGTCCCACTTGTGCCTATTTTACATCCGTTATAGATTTACTATAACCCATGAAAAGGAAAGTTAGAACAATTATTTTTGTTAGATGTTAGAGCATGTATTTCCATATAAGCAAAATGCAGAAATATTCAGCAGTCTTATTTTATAGATTTATCAAGTGTGTTTTATAGTATTCCCTAAAATTGAAGATAATCTTAACATTTTAGTTCTTATTCTAAAATTATGCTAATTAAAAGAGTTTTACTTTGATCTGAGCAGCACACAGAAGATTAACTCTAAGCCTCCCAAAAGGAATCAAAAGATGACGGTGACTGGTGACTCCCTCCTGAGGATCTCAGATGGACTCATCTGCTGAAGACACCTGGTCTTCTGAGATATCTGCTATCTTGCCTGAATGCAAGAGGTTGCCAAAACATTACCAACTTTACCTGCCCCATCCCACTCATTATTATATTCTCCTGCCTATCAACATAAGCCTTGCCATGAATGACCCTGAGAAAATGAAAAAGTAATTGCAGGACAGGCGATGAAGGTAAACTCAAATGTTCTTTATACCCTTCCTCCTTATTGAAGTTCAAGACTGAGGCAAAGGCTGGATGTGTCCTGGAAATAAATGAATGATTACTTGCAGGATGTCATCTAAAAGATCATCTTCCCTGTCAGGGGCTTATTCACAAAAAGCTCTCTTTATCTACTAGCCTTATAACCTAGTAGGGAAGCCTTAGACTAGGTTGAAGAAAGGAGCTGACATAAAAGCTCACAGGAAGGTATTAACCACAGCCACTTAGCTGAGGACCTAAAACTACTTGGAACAGGGTTATACATTACAGGGTCATAGAAGAGACAAAACCAGACAGAAGCACGCTGGTTGTCAGTACATGAATATAAGAAACGTGGCATAAAGAAGGGGACCTGGAAGTCCTTATGGTTCTTGGAAGATCCTGGAATCTTACAGTTCAGCAAATGAAACCTTATTTAGAGTTCTACTGATAAAAACCTGTGAGAATATGAGTGCTACAATGGTAGGATGCCTACTGTACCTCACCAACAGGGAAAACAGGATTTGGATTTGAAGCTTTTAGAGGTTTTGAGATTTTTTTCTGAGGGGGAAAAAAAAAAGAGGCAAAGTCATCCAGGGTAAAAGAGCTGGTTGTAATTGGTTGGGTAATGATTACAGCAGAACACAGGTTGTCCAGCAGATTATCAGAATGTGTCAGTGACATCCTGTTGATGCTGCAAAATCTAGTGAAGGGAAAATCTTTCTAAATTTTATCCTAATTAACACAGAGAAACTGCTTGAAAAGGTGAAATACAGCTTAGGCAGGAATGATGATGGAATGACAGAGTTTATGACACTTGTAAAAGGAAGGCAGGAGAATAGTGGGAAAAAAGTAGATTTCTACCTTCTCAAGGAACTAAAGTCTCATGGGAAACTGGTCTAAAGGGAAAATAACTTAAGGAGAGCTGGCAGTGCATCAGTGAAACATGCCATCACAGTATAAGAGAGAAGCATGAATATGTACAACCAAAATCTGAAAGGCCACAACACGAGATTCAATATCAAAAATATCAAGAGAAATGAGAACTCACTCTATAAATGCTTCAGTAATATAAGACAGATCAAGAAAAAAATTGGCTTTCTATTCAACAGAGAAAGAAGGCTACCAACAGATTGCATTAAGAGGATGAAGCACTTAAAGCCTTTTTGTATCAGTCTTCGATAGAGAGTCAAATATAAGCAGGCTGCTCGAACAATGAATGCTAATAACAAATAAAGAAAGAACAAATTACAGAATATTGCTATGTATTCATATTGGTTCTTAAAGAAATGGCTAAAATTGTCTCCCAAATTTATGCAGAAAAGCAAACACACTACCCAGCTTTGAAAAGAGGAAAGGAGAAGAACTGGTGAGTTACTGACATATTTCTAAGAAATCTATTCCTGCTTTCAGGCAGTAATTACAGAGTCACAAAGAGTTCAAAGGCTGTTAAGAGACACAAAAGCCACTAGGGATCCTTGAGATCTACTCTGATTTCAGGCAAGCTTATATTTTAAATTATACTCCCCTCCAACCAGCACCACTTTTACCTTGGTTTCCTAGGGAAATAAGAATAATGCAATCAGCCTTTTCATCCACATCTGTCAGCCTTTCCCCTAAATTTGGAGTCCATCTACCAATTTCAGTCAAACTTGAGAGGGGTAGGGGTCTTCAGATACAGCGGTTACAAGTTTTGTGAAATTGACAGTCATGAAAAGGAGAGAGACTCTTCATTCTCCTAGTTGGGAAGGCAGGGACATTATCTTTTCCATTTGTTAGCAGCTAGCCAAGCAATCAGCGTATGTGCTTCTCTGGGCTAGCCACGTACTGTCTCTTGCCCAGCTGCCAGCTTGAAGCACTCAGTGAGAAGTATGTTCTTCTTCTACCTTCAAGTAATAAGCCACAAGTACATTTACCAACTGTGTGAGACACCAAACCCTACTCCCTGCACATTCCCATCTCACTGGGGCTGGGTCTCAAAGTTCTTCATTCAGGCCTGACAAACCTAACCGTCTACTCTAACACAGGAATGCTTGCTGAAGGTATGGATAAAGCTCCAGACGGTGGCTCAGCAGAAGTTAGGGACAGAAATATTTATTAGTGAGGCCACTGATTTATCTTGAATTTAGCGTACTGTGTCCTATTGACAGAACCGTATTCCATGTTGGTGAGCCATCTGCATTTTTTTTATCTTGCCAGCTCTCTGCTTTGACAGTCTTTCAGTAGAAATGGGATTGGACCTCAGTAAAAATAACTTTGGGGAATTTCTGAAAGATCTTTTGACCTCAAGAACAGGAGGGACAAACTCAGCTGGCAGAAGACAAACAGGTTGATGTCTTGATTGAAGTACAGCTCATATTCTGCTTTGGGGACAATCTTGGAATGCATCTGCAGGAACACTCTGTTCCCAAAAAATATTACATAGAAGGAGCCAACCATAAGGTCTTAGATATTTCCTAGTGTCTCGCAAAAGCAAATTAGGAAAGAATTTCAGAGACAGAGGCAGCATGCTAAAAGTCCTGAGGATTAAGATGAAGGCCATTGTAGAACAGGATCTTTCACAGGTAGGGACACCTTAACCACCCCAACCTATTAAAGAACTTACAGGTGGAAAGGTGTGGAAATATCAAGATTCCACCTGTTGCAGACCATTGGTCCAAAATCACCACCTCGGTAAGAAAGAGGCCAGGCTTGCTTTCCTAGAGACTTCGTCTAAGATTTCTTTTCCATTACTGGTCATGAATTCTCACTAAAGAGAGGAGCAGACATAATTTGGCAAATGAGAGCCACACAGCACCCATCATATAACAAGGAAAGAGGTAACATTAAAATTCATAAGGATACTGAAGTTTCATTTTAGCAATTTCAGGAGGAGGGACAGAAGCCTTGAACTCCAGGCTAGAAGGCTTAGAAGGTGTTGGTACCAGAATTGACTTGGCCACCACAGAACATCACTGGGACAAGAGGAACTGAAGGGATGATATAAACCACTGCTTAAACTTACAGAAGGAGCAACTCATCTGACATAGCTCCAAGACACTGACCAATTCAGGAACCGAACATCCAAAGGTTCTGTTTTAAACTTGTCAGAATGCCTAAACCAACAGTTCTTGTCAATGTCATAAATAAAAGGTCAGACTTGGTATAGAATCAGAGAATCATAGAATAGTTTGGGTTGGAAGGGACCTTTAAAGGTCATCTAGTCCAACCCCCCTGCAATGAGCAGGGACATGTTCAACGAGATCAGGTTGCTCAGAGCCCCGTCCAACCTGACCTTGAATGTTTCCAGGGATGGGGCATCCACCAC